GAACAGGCTCTCAAGCTGAACTGAGAGCCTGCATCGATGACTAATGAATTTGAATATCTGCCCCGTAACGTTCGTTTTTCCAAATATGGAATGTCTATCCTTATATGGTGTTGTTTACAACTTTTGTGCAAACTAAATTTAGACCGTGCAAACTAAATTTAGACTGTACAGTTTATACTGTTTTTCAAAATATAAGATATTCAAGCAAAAGTTCAAATGTTTTAAATACTGTTTTCTCAAAACAGAACATTTCGTGCTTTGAGATAAGACGGCCAAGACCAATTTGATCAGTTAATGTGTTTTTTATGCATAATGCTTCAGCAGTTGACATATATAGAGCTCAGCGGAAACATATAAATTATAGCATCTGACCAATGAGAATTTCGCGTCACGATTTGAGACGCAGATATTCAAATTCATTAGTCATCGATGCAGGCTCTCAATTCAGCTTGAGAGCCTGTTCGCAGGCTATAACCAACTGAGCTACAGAGAGACAGTTGTCGAGCTCTAACCAACTGAGCTACAGAGAGACAGTTGTCGAGCTCTAACCAACTGAGCTACAGAGAGACAGTTGTCGAGCTCAAACCAACTGAGCTACAGAGAGACAGTTGTCGAGCTCTAACCAACTGAGCCACAGAGGACAGTTGTCGAGCTCTAACCAACTGAGCTACAGAGAGACAGTTGTCGAGCTCTAACCAACTAAGCTACAGAGAGACAGTTGTCGAGCTCTAACCAACTGAGCTACAGAGAGACAGTTGTCGAGCTCTAACCAACTGAGCTACAGAGAGACAGTTGTCGAGCTCTAACCAACTGAGCTACAGAGAGACAACTGTCGAGCTCTAACCAACTGAGCCACAGAGAGACAGTTGTCGAGCTCTAACCAACTGAGCTACAGAGAGACAGCTGTCGAGCTCTAACCACCTGAGCTACAGAGAGACAGTTGTCGAGCTCTAACCAACTGAGCTACAGAGAGACAGTTGTCGAGCTCTAACCAACTGAGCTACAGAGAGACAGTTGTCGAGCTCTAACCAACTGAGCTACAGAGAGACAGTTGTCGAGCTCTAACCAACTGAGCTACAGAGAGACAGTTGTCAAGGTCTAACCAACTGAGTTACAGAAGACAGTTGTCGAGATCTAACCAACTGAGCTACAGAGAGACAGTTGTCGAGCTCTAACCAACTGAGCTACAGAGAGACAGTTGTTGAGATCTAACCATCTGAGCTACAGAGAGACAGTTGTCGAGCTCTAACCAACTGAGCTACAGAGAGACAGTTGTCGAGCTCTAACCAACTGAACTACAGAAGAAATCCAGTTGTCGAGCTCTAACCGCAAGTTCATGTATATATAATCCTGATAATTCTGATAATTTGTCTTCAATCCTGACAATCCTGATCATTTGTTTTCCTTTGTTGTGTTCATTTGCTCTCTTGAAATTGTGAATGTTTTGTAATCGATTTCGTAATTCAAGACTATTTTATTAAAAATACTATATAGCATAGGGTACATCATGTTAAAACTAATTTAAGCTCTGTTGTATTGTAAACAACGAAACGATATCTTGAAAAAAACTATTTTCAAGGGGTTTTAATAAAGGTATCTTATTCAGCTTATCAACGACTCATGACTGCTCATAACGGCGCATGACTGTTTTCAATTTTCAGTCATTTTAGATTACAAACGGGAAATTAATACACAAATCGGGTGTCGGGGTATCAATTTCCCGTTTGTAATCTAAAATGACCGAAAATTGCAAACTTCGCAGGGCTATATTATCCGCATTTTACAACATTTCGCAACGAAACTTCGGAATATTACTAATTTTGTGACGCTCTTTCAAGCTGCGATGAAATTTTTGTCTAGACTTGTCTAGATCAAAATTTTAGTTATAAGGTTAAAGGTCCATTAAGAACGCCAGATCGAGTCTTCCTGCTAAATGTACCATAGAAACATTACAGGATTGCACAAAGCCTTCACATAGCCTATACGCTATTGTCTGCGAGCATTCGACTGTACTCGGAAGTGACCCTATATAACACTCCAACTCAACGTGCATGGAGACGCTTTTGTGGAGTGTCGTTATCTGAAAAACATGGACTGGACCCATGGACTGGACCCAAAATTGGACTCAAAATTGGACTCAAAATTGGACCCAAAATTGGACTCAAAATTGGATCCAAAATTGGACTCAAAATTTTAGCCAAAATTTTGCCCAAAAAGCCATTATTTATTCGGAGAGAAACAACCCTCAGTATATCGTGCTTTGATTTAATTTGTATAGGCAAAAAACTTCACGTTCCATCACTTTTCCTTGACCTATCTAGCTATTTGTCTTCCAAAATTCTATATTCTATTTTATGATAATAAAATAGAATAATGCATAATGATAAGCCCACATATAGCTAGTTGCGATAAATATTAGAATATATGGACAAAACAAACTTTGCGAACTCGTTACTCGTTAGAGGATATATATGCCGGAATATATAGAGGGTGTATTAAAAAGATATTTCACAAAGGTTTATTATTTACGAATTACGAGATGCCCTAGATAACGTTTAGAAAATAGAATATATATAGAATTTTGGAAGACAAATAGCTAGATAGGTCAAGGAAAAGTGATGGAACGTGAAGTTATTTGCCTATACAAATTAAATCAATTAAGCACGATATCAGTCTGAGGGTTGTTTCTCTCCGAAAAAATAATGGATTTTTGGGCAAAATTTTGGCTAAAATTTTGAGTCCAATTTTGAGTCCAATTTTGGGTCCAATTTTGAGTCCAATTTTGGGTCCAATTTTGGGCCCAGTCCATGGGTCCAGTCCATGTTTTGTATACTATGCCGTTATCTGAAGTGATCCGATATCGCAGCGTGGCTAGAAGTGTCGAGCGTATAGCTACATCATCGCCATTCAGACATGCTTCTAGGCAACCTCTTTGACGATTCTTGGTGGCTGATGAGTGCTGATGACTTGTCACTACTCCCACTCATCTCTGTGCTGCGGTTAGAACACGTGCTCTTCATCTGAAACCGGTCTCTTAATGTTTCCATGAAGTTACGATGGCTACATTCAATAATGCTGTGCTGCACTCTGTGTTGTATACAATATTTTTAAGAGCCATATCTTTTTTTACGTCGCGTAATTGCAATGAAAAGCGTTCAAGACCTAAAATCTTTATGGCGTACTTCCCAAAAATGTCTATCTTAAAATTTCCACTTTTAGTTGTAGATTAGAATACAACTTGATTGATGGGCTATAAAATTGATGTCATATTTTACAGCAATATAAGCAAAACCTGATCGGAATGGGTGTTTCCGGCTATATAGACTAAATTTTGATCAAGGCAAGAAGAATGAAATCCAACACCACAGCTAGAAAGAGCATCTTAGAATGAGTAAAACTGCAAAGATTGGTTGCGAAATGTTGTAAAATGAAGAAAATATAGCCCTGTAAAGTTCGCAAATTTTGTATATTGATTTGTATTACGCACGGTAAAAATAACCTCTTTCGGTTAAATGGTTATTTTTCGCGAGCGTAACGCAAATAAGTTCTTTGTATATGTTTGTATGGCGATAAAACATATAATAGTTTTGTTTGTGGAAACACCACGTAAATGTATTACCGTGCAAAGCTTTCGATCCGTAAGCCCGGATCTTCATCAGTGCTAATAATATGAATAATGAATTTTTCTGTGTTGGTGTTGTGTACTCAGGTGAATAATATTGTTTGCGATGTTACTCTGAGTGCATATCCACACCGGGCGAGCTTGAAAAATATGCCCGGCCACGGTGAGATTCGAATGGGCTAGTATTCCAAAGGTCGTAGGTTCGAATCCCACCGTGGCCGGGCATATTTTTCAAGCTCGCCCGGTGTGGATATGCACTCAGAGTAACATCGCAAACAATAATATGAATAATATTATTATGAATAATATCATATTATTAGCACTGATGAAGATCCGAGCTTACGGATCGAAAGCTTTTGCAGTAATAAATTTACGTGGTGTTCAGTCCACAAACAAAACTATTCTAATGCAAATATACATACAAAATAGAATTTTCGAACTTTACAGGGCTATACTTTCATCATTTTACAACATTTCGCAACCACACTTTGCAATTTTACTCATTTTACGATGCTCTTTCCAGCTGTGGTAATGGATTTCGTCTGGAATCATCTATTTAAACATCGTTTTCTCTTTGACCTACCATCTTAAAAATCTCTTTATTTTAGTGATTATTTTATGCACTGAGGACACTTTTTAAATTTTGTTACCGATTTGAGAAACGTATATAAAGAGGCCAGTTCAACATGGGTGATCGCTAGATAGTATACTTCAAAATAAGGTTTCCGTTTTTATAACGTAGAAAAAACTATCCTAACGCAAAACTAAACCCTAACCCTAATACTAACCCTTACCCTAACCCCAACCTAACCCTAACCTAAACCCTAACCTAACCCTATCTTATTTTAATTATGTTAAAAATTGATATAAAAATGGAAACCTTATTTTGAAGTATACTATCTAGCAATTGCCGTTCAACATGTTGGTCCTATATCATGCTATAATACATTGCTGGATACCACATTGTTCACCTCGTTTTAACACTATTTTTGGTAATGTTGCATGATTTTGCATTGGGGTTTGTCTTTGTTTAAAATGTTCATGCAACATAATCCAACATTGTTCTACATTTTTGGACCGACAATTTGGACGATGTTGGACTAGTCTGAACAGTGTTTAAAAAAATTGAGAAAAAAAATTAACAAGCAGTCACAGCCAAGTGGCATTATACTCATCGTGCTTATCAGTTTTGAGCGCGTGTTACGTATCGTACAAAAAATTTCCTCTTGATAATATGATAACAATATTGTTATAGTGCTCTTCAACCGTCACTAATCATTACTGAAGCAACGTATATTGAAAAGATTGAGCTGTCTTTTTCTACCGTAAAAGCAGCCATGCTATATATACTACCGTTGAACCGTCATGAGCAGTTATGTTTAGCAACCATAAATTGCGTCATATGATAAGCTGAATAAGATTCCTTTATAAAAAAAAACCCTTGAAAGTATAATTTTTTAGATATCGTTTCGTTGTTTACAGAGCTTTTAATTAAATGAATTTTAATTAACATGCATGATATATATACTCTATGCTATATAGGCCTAGTATTTTCAATAAAATAGTCTTGAATTACGAAACCGATTACAAAACATTCACAATTTCAAAAGAGCAAATGAACACAAAAGAGGCAAACAAATGATCAGGATTATCAGGATTGAAGACAAATTATCAGGATTATAATCGCGAGGCTCTGGCTAATGGCAATGAAGCTATGGCGATAGATATTATTTCTACCGATAGAATTTACAAATTTGGGCGAGTACACATAATAGAGACGCGACTAAACGCAAAAGCTCTGGCGAATTTGGGTGGGCGAAATGACCCTGACCCTTAACAGTATAAAACCAGGATAAATTCAGAGAAGTAGATCTTATTTTAGCGTTATAGACTGGGTTGCTTTTGAAAATTAAGAAGCTTTCACCAATATAATAAGATCAGATTGAGAAGAACCAGATGAAGTCTTAAAGTCAGATGCGGAAACTGAATGTTTGTCCAAGAGTTTATAGCAGAGATAGTTGAAAAGTAGACAGAGCATTAATACCATAGTCAATTATGAAACTCCCCTATACTCTGAAATTGTGTAACGAAGGGTCATTCCTTCTCCCGTTAACGCCACTTACATCCCCTGCACGTTCAGAATTCCTACACATAGGCTAGCAACCAGTTTTCTTCTTTGAAGAATTTCATGTTCATTGTTATTCCCACAGTTATTAAAACAACTCACGGCGAATATGACCCCCCACTTTTACAACAAACTAAGACGATTTTTACCGGGAGGGCTTCGCTACAGACCTATACCATAAATGGTATTTTAAGAGCGCGCCTCTCAGAAACATCTATCAATAACTACTTGCAATTTGACTGCCCGTAAGTGGTTCAAGCCACAGGCATAGCTATAGAATATGCTTTATACAATGAACTTTTTCATAATACTTCAGGCTAGTTTACATTATCAAAAAGTTTCTCTGATCACAGTAGGAATATTGTGTAGGTAGGAATTTTTGCGTAGGTTCAGTATTAAACACTCATTCAGTTCCCTCAAATATTTCTTACAAATTCTTCAAAACTTAAAATTTGCCCATACAAAATTCCCACTGTGATTATAGAAACTTTGATTGTGTAAACCAGGCCTTTTGATACTTGCAATTTTGATACTTCCATTGTACCAATGCAATGTATTTTCATTGTTTTGAAATTCTAACTGTTCTCCATTCCCGGTCCAGTCACCCGTTTTTTGTTGGCATATTTTTAGCATTGATACAACATTCAATGATGTCTAGTCCTGTTCAGTTACCATTGTTTATGTTCACGGCAAAATGAATGAGAACAAAAGCAGGCACTATTCAATTATCTCCACGAGTTCACTCGTGGGCATAATTCAATGTTCAAGCTTAGTTACCTTTGTTCGTCTTGCATGTTGTAAATTGGATCAATAGTGATTGCCCAATCCATATATCCGATTCTAATTTTGATCATTAGTGTCCGGACCCACACAGACTGACCTCTTAAAAAAATTGCAATTTGTTGACAAGCCCTTGTGAACTTGAGTGACCACCTTTCTAGAATGTTGACAAGAAAGAGACAGTATAAAGAGGTGGCAAATCTCCTGCAAGGAGTTCTCAATGTCCTCGAACATTTCAAGAAGTATTTTGGCATTCCGCAGATTTCAGAGCTTGCTGATAGGTAAGTAAGTGGGCTGTGCTGATCGTCCTTACTAGGCGAGCTTGTTGCCTTGTTCGCGCGAAGCGACTTTTTCCTCTGTCTGTAGTAGTGGAAACGTATCAGACTACGGGACCATTGGTCCCAGAAAATGTTTTGAGTTCCCAGAAAATATTCCCCCCCCCAAAAAAAAAAAAAGAAAACAGAGATAATTGTAATAATTTAGATAAAAGCAGAAATTCAGAAAGATATAAAGAATACCAATAGAAAGAATGTTATCTGTACTGTAGGTATGACCTCAGAAATACAATTAGAACTACAATACTACATCCATCTTAGTGTGATAGAGTGTATAAATGCATAGACTATAGAATGATGTAACAAATGTTGTACGGCAAATGCATTTTTAGGCAATCTGGGACACCTGAATTTCAAAGTCTTTTGGAGGAGCATGGGTCCCCTGATAGTGCCCCCCCCCCTTAGCAGTGCCCTTTCTTAACCCCCCGATCACACCCTTGATGTTAGCGGCTAATCCCAACCCACCCTGTCAACATTCCTGGTGGAAGGAAATGCAACTCGTTTTCCAACTCATTTTCAGGGTGAAAACTATTCAAAATGAGCTTGGTACTCAAGTTCTAACGGATTTTGAAGAAGCATTGTCCATTCGTGGTGTCAAGGTATACTTATGTGATACTATTTACTGTAACACTAAATAGCTGGTGTAATCTTGCACCTCTATCAAGGGGTAACTGCGACAAGCCAAATATATTCAGTAGTTCCCGCAATTTCTCTGCGCAGGAGACAGAGAGGGGTTTCTGGGTTTAAACTATCTATGATGTATCTTTTTCTAGCCTCCTGCTGGACCGAACTCTCTCTTGTCAGAAGCTTGTCAGGTTGTGTGCGTGTTAGACAGTAAAGTCAGGTATGATTATATTTGGGGGGCATCCATTTAGTACGTGCCCATGGGAGGAGGGGAGGGGAAGGGAGGGTTAAGTCGATAATAATAAGAATTTGTTAATAAGAATTTGTTTTCAAAAATCGCCGATGATTTATGATCTGCTTCCCTTTAATACCACTCGTCCATCAACCACGCTCAGAAATACAAAACCTATGTTTATCCCTTTATGCAAAGCAGACATATTCAGAAATACCTTCATAGTTAATCTGATCGTATGTTGGCCTTGTCTAGTGCACGTGTTTTTAAACCTCTTTGACGCACAGTTGATGCTTTACTTAAGTTTACTTTATTTTTTAGCCCCCCCTCCCAAAAAAAATAATTTTACTTACGTCAGAAAGAATGGTTTAACCCCTCCCCTTCGTACGCAAATGTATGCATAAATTATAGAGATAGATAGATCGTTTCATTACTAATAAACCCATTTGCAGTAGAGACTGAATCACTGAGGACTATGTACATAAGGATAATTTACTAGGTATCATAAATATCTTAAATTAGTTACAAACATTTGGTAAAAAACTAAATACATCTTTATAATAAATACATCTTTATAATACAAACTTTAAAATTTTATAATACAAATTTAAAATACAACTGGATAATTCTAATTGTTCGCCAAACACGCTCGTGTATTGTTTGGGGCCCCGAATAAGGCCACGCTTATTTTTTTGTTGGATTACGGATGTTACTTACCAATATTAAAGGGAAGGAAGGCAAAATTAAGAAAAAAAACAATGTATAATATCTTCCACAGACAAAGTGTACACGCGTAAAAACGCACAAGTTGTTACAGGTCTGCAAACAAGTTGTTGCAAATCTGTTCACGAGCTGTCGACAAGTTGTGTTCGCACTGCTTGTTCCCAGTTGTTGGGACGAGCAGTTAACATTAAGCAGTTAACAACTTGTAGCAAGCTTGATGCCATTGTTAAACTTGTTACAAGGTTGTTCTAACAGGTTTGATACAGTCATAATATAACAAGAATGTTACAAGGTTGACGAGGCAAGGTTACAATATTGTTATCTCATGACTGTATTGGACTTGTTGGAACAACCTTGCAACAAGTCTGATAATATCAACAAGGTTGTTACAAGTTGCTAACAGCTTGTTCCAAACTTGTTGATAACTTGGGTCAAGCATTGCAAACACAACTTGTTCACGGCTTGTTGGCACACTTGATGTGAGAAGATGTGAGATTTTTACGCGTGTAGATGATCAAGGGGAAGTAAACATCGCCTCCTTGGGCCTGCCAACCCCGTAAAAACGCACAAGTTGTAACAAACCTGCAGCAGATTTGTAGCAATGCTGTTCCAACAACATGTCAACAGGATGTGTTCGCACTGCTTGTTGACAAGTTTTGAACGACTTGTTGACAACTTGTTACAAGGTTGTTGAGCTCAACAGACTTGTTACAAGTTGTTCCAACAACTTGTGATCGTCCTGCACTTTAACAATTTGTCAACAAGTTGTGAGTGACAACCTTGTAGCAATTTGATAAAATAACAGCATTGTTACAACACGTATTTCCAGGGAAGATTTAATCAAATGGTTTGTCAATCTGCAATTGGAGGAGTATGTTCAATTATTCAGCGATACACAAGAGGTTTGTTTTGCAAATATTTTACAATTGTATTTCAGAACTATCCTCAGAGATGTGAAAAACTAGTCTCGCATAATTTATTTCTGACTAGGTTGGTTGGCTGGACAAAATAGACAGACGGTATTCGTGGCTGAAGAGAGCTTTAGTTAAATTTGAAGAAGATTTTAAAGAAACTTTTCCTCTCGAATGGCATGTCGAGGAGAAGATTTGTGAAGAATTTTGTCATATTACAAAGTAAGAATAAGTTGAGGGTGGGAGGGTGAAGGGTTGAGCCCCCTTGTTATCATAATATCACTCTCCCCCCTCTCTTTGAGAGTCCCCCTTGTTGGCATTCCAGAACTACACCACTGTTTCAAACTTTACAAAACGACGCAAACAACAACTTAAAATATCGTCAAGAGACCTGACTCTTTTACACTTGACACAAATAACTTTCCAAGACAATGCACCCTTCTGGAAAGTATCTCACTTTCTGAGGCTATAGAGCCTCGTTTTCATGTATGTGACATAAGTCCCAACGTCTAAATCATGAAAACGAGCCTCTCTAGCCAAGATGACATACGTTCTGGAATGGTGTATCATAATTCAGATTTGAAAGGATTATCACCAATTTAATAAGAACTAAAAGTACTATGATGTTTGTGATGTTACTCTGAGTGTGCATCCACACTGGGCAAGCTGAAAAGATTGCCTGACCACGGTGGGAATCGAATCCGCGACCTTTGGGATACTAGTCCAATGCTCTACCAACACACACAAAAAAGTACTGTCAATGTCTGCTTTTGACAGGCAATGTGTCTGTGAACGAAAATCACCACTTTAAATATTCCAGGGTTTTTTTATATTTGGAATGTTACATTCCTTCGTGTGGCTTGGCTATCTTTCTAGAAATGACTTGGGTAAAACGATGTCTTCAAGAACCAGTGACATTGACGTGAAACTTCTACTTTTCGCCATCCAGAGGACAACCACGTTTGAAGGATTTCTCGCAAAACGTTTTGCAGGCAGTCTGTATGAGACCAACCAGGTATGGCACTATAACGTCTTTTCAATTTGAAGTTAGATAGTTACTAATATTTTTTCGATATTTATCTATTTTATAACAGGAATCCCGTGAAGCCGAGAAAAACAAGGCAAGTGATTCCTAGCTCGTAGCATTCTTGATAGTACTCAGACGTTTAGCTTGAATGAAAAATAAAATAACGTGGCCCAATAAATTCACAGATCCATTTTGATTTTCTTGGGGGAGGGGTGCTCCCGAATGAGAGAAATGATATCAGACATTTGGCATGGGAATGGGTGGCAATGAGGTCTTAGGGAGTGTTAATTTTTTTTGGGTTTTTTTTTTGGGAGAGGGGCGGTGAAATCATAGGGGGGGGAGTTTGGTGTTTGTTTTTGGGGGGAAGGGGGTCACCAGAGTTTGAGGAGTAATCAGGAGGGGGGCGTCATGAAAATTTTAGTTCTGGCAATGTTTTGACCTCTTTAAAATATGTTATTATAGAACATGAAAATTTTGAATTACTACATGGCTACAAGTTTAATTACAGGAGCTTTTGGCCTTTTGCACTATTACTAACGTTATAAAATAAAGACACCTCCCCAACCATAAATAATGAACACTCCCTTATGTCCATTTGACGACTGTAAAGCCCTTTGCACTGACGCATTTTAAAATATCTCTCCACAGATTGCTGCTGCGAAAGAATCTCGTTTTCTTGGTTTAATATCAAGATGTTTCGAGCCTCATTTACATGTTTATATCCAGTCCCAAGACAAGTAAGTATCATCTCATTTCTCGAACAAGTTGTTATCACCTTGTTACAAGGTTGATGACGGTAACAGACTTGTTACAAGTTGTTCCAGCAAGACTAATACACGCTGTTGCAGGCTTTTAGCCAGGGTCCTAAAAGAGGGCGTCCAATTTTGACATAACTATAGATCTACTGTAAAGAGGGGTGGGGTTAGAGAAAACGTTCCTCTGGAAAACCTTTGAAGTTTATGTTACTTCATGTTAGTATCTTTCCAACCTCGTTTGAAATTTTCAAACACACTTGGCTTTGTGAGTTTGTGCCACTATTGCTTCTTTACTTAACACGACATTTTCATTCAGCCAGGTACACCATCAAATTGATCAAAATGTCAAATGTATAATAATAATGAGAATTGAAGCTATTTCGTTTCGGATATGTTAATATACTTAGGGAATCATTGAAAATAATTTCCCTTTCCCCCCATAATTTGGGCGTCCACTTTTTGTTCTAGGGGCGTCCCAGGACGCCTGGACGCCCTTCTGGCTAAAAGCCTGGGCTGTTGGTAACAAGTTGCTACGAGCTTGTTGTTAACTTGTTAACAACTTGTTACATACAGACGATATCAGACTTGAACAACTTGTTGAAAGTCTGTTGGCCTCATCAACATTGTTATAAGACGATAACAACTTGTTCCAAACTTGTCAACAACTGGGAACAAGCAGTGCGAACACAACGTTTATGAAAAAAATGTTTATGAAATCATAGTTGCCCGTTTGATAATTTATTAACACAACTCTGTTCTTCTACAGAAACCTGAGCGAACTTCTCGAGCGTTTCGTCACAGACTTCAAATCTCTTGGAATTCCTCAAGTCGAAGGCGATGGCAGCAACGTGATTTTGCCAAGTGCTGGAGAACTGTTTGTATTTTATAAGAAATGTTTGGTTCAGTGTTCGCAGCTCAGCACCGGACCACCCCTCTTGTCACTCGCTTCAACGTTTCAGAAATATCTCAAGGATTACGCCACCAGAGTGTTGTCTGCGAACATGCCCAAGTAAGAATTTATTATCCCCGCAGGGAGGTTATGTTTTCATTCACGTTTGTAAGTGTGTGTGTGTGTGTGTGTTTGTCTGTTTGTCAAACATTGGTTAGGGACCGGTCATTATTTATGGTGGGAGGTGGCACCGAAGAGAAATGTTTTTCGTGGGAAAAACTTTGCTGACCCAACCATTAAAAAGTCAAAATATTTGATTACCCAACCTCAAATATCAATTAAAAAATAAATACCCATTCAGTTGTCACACATGTTCTTTACCACTCCTGTGACATGAGTTTGATAACGGCTTGTGAAAGTTTCTGCAGTCTAAAGTTTCATATTGTTTGCAAATGTAGCTTCTTTGGGGACACCATTTGTCTCCCAACAATTCAACAAATCGGAAAATGGTCAAGATAGTGGCTCTGATCACAGTTTATGGAAATTCTCTGATTGATTCACATATTGTACTTACATATGACTGTTCACATTGCTTTTCACTCTCCAATATTTCAGTGAGTCATGCTTTGGAAATGACATATTTTTTTATTACCCAACCTTGGGTTGTTTTGTCAGTTTCATTTACCCAACCTTTTACTTACTCAAAATTTTGTTTATCCCTCCCTTTTCTCTTCGGTGCCACCCCCCGCCATAAATAATGACCACTCCCTTGTAGCAAATCTGCCAACAAGCCGTCAACAAGTTGTGTTCGCACTGCTTGTCCCAAGTTGTCAACAAGTTTGGAACAAGCAGTTAACAACTTGTAACAAGCTTGTTGATATTGTCTGACTTGTTGCAAGGTTGTTCCAACACGTCCAATACATTCATGATATAACAATATTGTTCCAACCTTGTGTCGTCAACCTTGTAACATTCTTGTTATATCATGACTGTATCAGACTTGTTAGAACAACCGTAACAAGTCTGATAATGCCATCAAGCTTGTTACAACTAGTTGTTAACAACTTGTTCCAAACTTGTTACAACAACTGGGAACAAGCAGTGCGAACACAACTTGTCGACAGCTTGTGAACAGATTTGTAACAACTTGTTTGCAGACCTGTAACAACTTGTGCTTTTTTACGCGTGTACTCGACGAGATACATGGCATGTATCGAAAGCCACGTGACCACAAATCAGCCAATCACATGTGGTGTTCACCCTAGCTATATAACAACTTATCGTTATTTCTCTGTCAGAACAGTAACTCAGTCTGGAGGTCTGGCAAGCATTCTCAAAGATAACGAGATCAAATTCAGCAAGGAAGATCAAACATTGGCCTGCTGTATCCTCTGCACAGCGGATTATTGCTTGGAGACAACACAACAGGTATCCGCGCTATTCTTGGGTTTCATATGACATCACAAAAGTGACGCGGGGTCAACTCTAAAACAAAACACAGTTATCAGATTGAGTCGATTGTTCGTTTTATGTATTAGCCTTGTGTTTGGTGGCAAATACGTGGAATTTCGTATCATTTTCTCACTCCAGTAGAGCATAAGCATCAATACATTTGAGGTTGACCCCCCGTCAGATTCACTGCATAATGCCGTAGTGAAACCCAAGAATTCCAGTGGCGAAGCTAATCTTAACAACAGGTCATGCTATGAAGATTTTTAATGATTTGCATTCTTCAAAGCTTTAGCAATGTATTGTCTTTAACCTATTTAGATGCAGATTTATTAGCATAGCATGCCTAGCTTCGCTACTGCCGGCTACTCACTGAACTACACACGTAAAAACGCACAAGTTGTAACAAACCTGCAGCAGACTTGTAGCAATGCTGTTCCAACAACTTGTCAACAGGATGTGTTCGCACTGCTTGTCCCCAGCTTGTTGACAAGTTGTCACAAGGTTGTTGAGCTCAACAGACTTGTTACAAATTGTTCCAACAACTTTTTATCGTCCTGCAATTCAACAATTTGTCAACAAGTTGTGAGTGACTTGTAACCTTGTAGCAACTTGATAAAATAACAGCATTGCTACAACTTGTTGACAAGCTTGCTACAAGCCTGTTGCGAACACATCCCGTTGACAAGTTGTGAGATTTTTACGTCTGTAGATAAAGGCTATTGCCCTGGTCAAACGAGGATGCGAGTTGATAAGAGTTGACAAGTGAGGGTTTGCATGACACTCAAACAGGGCGTGGGTAGCGCGATCGTTGAGCAAGCGCCTTTCACTTCTGAGATCGTCGAGCTGCGGACTCATATAACACTTAAGGTAATTCCGCAGTTTTGCATTGCGCACTTTTACTGCGCACATCTTATAACTTATAATTTCATCCATTATACGTACCGTTTAAAAAATATCATTTTATGACAATTTTATGTTACTTCAAAACATCTTTGGTTACAGTCGTGCAAAGAATTACATTAAAATCAATGTTTTCAAAAAAGGCATACAAAAGTGTAGCTAGGGTTCCTGTGTCTGTAGTATATTTATTTACTTGTACTTCACGTTTTAATGCCACACTATGATTCCCTAAAAAGATCGGTGACCCCCGTTTTTTAACTGATAATTTATCTCTTTAATGCATTTTACATTTCATATCCGAAATTAAAAGAAAAATCATTTCTGCATCTTGAAAAAAAAATGCTTTATCAATGCATGTTCTCAAAGAAAAGATATGTAAAGAAATGTGCAAAAGACATGTGTGGATCAGAATTGTACACGTTAGTAGTTTCATTTTGCTCAAAACACAATATTTTTTCAAAAATAATTACAAGATAGGTTCACTAAAGCAAAATCCGCGCTAAAAACGTCAATAAATATCGGGCTGTTGTGAGTTTGCTGTCACTCGTAATGAGCGTCAAGATGGCGCCATATTGGGGTAAAGGTGGTATATTGTGATTGTCATATCTTCTTAACGAGTTCGGTGACCCCGACTTTTTTGTGTGATTTTATTTTAAGTATATCATAAACTCCATGCCTGGGAAGTTTCAGCACATTCTCATTTCAGGAGCAATTACTGCGGAATTACCTTAAGTGAAAAGAGTCAGTCAACGCTCTACCGAAAGTCGTGGATTTTCTCCGGGTGCTCCGATTTCCTCCCACAGGGAATGTTGACAGGGTGGGCTGGGATATAAGCTCCAAACTGATCCTTCCACCGTAGCCATGCTCTATGATCAGACATGAGTCATAAAGTGGCTGCCGTAGGCGCTCTTAGAAAGCTCTCAAGTCTGTTGTGACCATTGAACTATAAATAAACTGGAAGGCTAACTCAGGGGGGGAAATTGAAGCCAGTGCATTTTAGTTTTTCTGAGTTATGAGCAGAAATACTCAACACTGAACGTTGGGCTATATATCAAATTGAAGCTATTGAAAAACGCTATTTGGTGTAGAAATTTCAAGACTTTAGCTAAAAGGGAAATATTGAAAAACTACAAACATAATTACCGATAATCTTGCCGTTTTGCAGTTGTTTTTGTATTTTTTAAATATTTTTCTTTTCGCTGAAGTCTTGAAATTTCCACACCGAATAGCAATTTTCAATAGCTTCAATTTGATATATAGTCCGACGTTTGGGGTCAAGTATTTCTGCTCATAACTCAGAAAAACTATTTTGGCTTCATCAAATCATAGGCCTTCATCATAGCAGTTAGCCTTCCAGTTTATTTATAGTTCAATGGTTGTGACTGGTGAAAGGCTTGGTTCAGTAAACGACGCTTTCTTTCATCTCATTTTCCCTCGAAGTTCAAAATTATGTTTTGCTTTGTAAATCAAATAATAAACACGAAATGTTTGTCAAGTCGAAGTTTTGAAATCTCTTTCGTATACTCGTAGCTTGAAGAGAAATTAAAAGAGAAAATTGATGTGGAACTGTCGGAGAAAATCGACCTTGTGAACGAACAAGACGTGTTTCATTCGTAAGTATTCGAGAGCAATTGTTGCGATTGAGACCTTAGGGAACCATGGAACGACGGCGACGACGCTCTATCGTATAAGGGGTTAACCCCAAATTCAAAACTTAGTTGAATTAATAATTCAGGAGTCACAGGCTAAATGCAAAAATCATGTGAAAGCAGTCGAGTTATTATTCTAAATCTAGAGTTATTGGATAACAACTCCAGAAGACGTGTGCAGCTAACTATCTTGGTTTAGTATAATTCCAGTGTTGAAAAATGGCCTTTGAGCATTCTGATTGGCTCCTTCAGCATGCAGTAACTCTGAGGCAATAGTTACTACTCAGATTGCTCTGAGCAGTACCTATTGCTTTTCACAAAACATTGGCTGAAAATCAGTGTTTATGCAAATTATATTCATAAAATAAACACGTGTATTAGTTGTATTTATAAATAAAACTTTTTCAATACTGAAATTATGCTAAAACAATTAGTCGCCTCACGCTCGGTGATTACAAGCTTATATTCACTGAGAGGAGAAGCATAGTGTCACAACTAACTAACAACTCCAAACATCACGTGGAGTATGCGTGGAGCTAATTGTCCAAGCCTGGAGTTTGTGGATGCTCCAGCATAGACTCGTGGAACCTACAGGCATAGAAGGAGATTGTGCAGTCTATACTTACCAGTTATTCCACGATGTTTTAGAGTGATATCAAATTCCATTCAACTGCTTGTCCAAGACACTGAAAATGCTTGTGATGCCCCGCTTATAGCTATGGTCAAAGTAAGTGGATATAGTTGCTACTCTGGTCAATCATCTACACGCCATCAGAGCAAGCCCCTTCCACGTCTTACATCATAGGTTCGATTCTCGCTGTGGATTCTCACTCATGGTGCTTGGGTGAAAAGAGTAAAAGTCAACGCTCTACCGAAAGTCGTGGGTTTTCTCCGGGTACTCCGATTTCCTTCCACAGGGAATGTTGACAGGTGGGTTGGGATTAGCCCCCTAACTGACTCTTCCACCGTAGCTGTACTCCGTGATCAGACATGCGAAAATTTTTACTCGTTGTAAACACCTTGCGTAGCTCATCTCCAAGTGATCTGCGCAAGTTGTTTTGTTTCTCAGGGGCATTGCACGATGTATATACTCGCTCCTCTGTTACTGATCTCATAATACCATCTGTCAAATCTAATCTTTCCAAGACCAAACTCACAGTGGAGTTTTACTTTTCAATTCTTTACCAAATAACCTGAAGGCGTTTAATGATTACTTCCCTTCTGCGTATAAACATAAACTCAAGAGGTTTTTCTCTAATCTTAATTATGAGGTTGACCATCTTGAACAATTTTACTGTATTTCTTGCAAAAACCTAGTTAAGTGCATTTTATTATTATTATTGTCTTTATTAGGGTCCACTAAAGTATATGTACAAAGTCTAATTATATAGTCAATTATTCGGAGACCCTAAATGGGCGAGGCGCAAACGGGACTCGAAGAACCATGGAAGGCACCTGCCCAAACTTAGTAAAAGTTTACTGTTCTTATTGAAAATCTATACTGTTCTAATGAACCTCGGAGGTGCATACGCCTCATAAAAATCGAGGGTTAGTAAATCCCTCAGTTGCTTCCCCCATTTGTTACTCTCACTGAATTTGTTACTCTCACTGAACACATATTGTCAAAAATTGAAAAAAAAACATGTATGCTTAATAATATAGTTCTGTATTTGGTGCTATAGTCCCATGTGCTGTGTCTAATACAACTAGTTTAGCTTCTTTGTATATATTGCAAATAGCTCATCTAAATTTCATTTGGTAGAATACCTTTTCAGGCAAAAATGTATATTTACCCTCACCAAAATAAAGTTTATTATTATTATTACATGAGTCATAGTGGTTGCCAGAGGCGTCCTTAGAAAGCCTTCGACTCGATCAGGTTCAGCTGTGTCCTTCGCAATTCAGTTTAGCTCTCAGCTGCAAGTAAGGATGATTAACACACCCCGCTTACACCATTTAATTACGTTTTGCTTGTGTAGGTTCATTGGCAGAGTATTGAGGCAGTTGGAGATCAAAGTGCTTACGTGACTGCCATAGCAACGCATCTTCAAAATATCGTTCCCGTCATTCGTGAATACCTCACTTCAGTGAGGAAATATTTTACACAGTTTTGTGTCAAGTTTGCCAAGTAAGCACATCCTAGTAAATTCAGGGACGTCGCGAAGGCATCAACATTGGGGGGAGACGGCGTCGTCTTGTTTTGACCAACTTTTCCTATACAATTTTGACCAACTCCTAAAAATTCTTCAGAGAAAATGTTGTCCACGGGAGCGGGAAGTCATCAAAAAAACTTTCCGGAGTAACATAAGTAAAGCTTGAAATTTTTTACGGACTAACATTAGCAAAGCTTAAATGTTTTCCCGACTAAAATTAACAAATCTTATAAATTGTTAAAATTGGGAACGATTTCATAACTTTTACCAACTTTTATCTCAAACTGTGACCAAATTTTAGCAACTTTGTTCTCAAACTTTGACAAACTTTTGCCAAGCTCGACCTGCAACTTTGACCAACTTTTAACCAAATATTGTTCATTTTGACCACCTTTTACCAAGTTTTTGAATTATTGGGGGTGTCACCCCCTCCCCCCCGCCCCACACACACACTGGTAGCGACGTCCCTGATTAAATTGCTTCATCATTTCTGGTACAGCGATAATGAAGTAATGTTAACTACATAAACTCTAACATGTTAATTTTTTATATGTGATAGTTCGTTTATACCCAAGTTCATCAGTCAGATATACAAATGCAAGCCAATCAGTACAGTTGGCGCTGAACAGGTGCGCAAAAATAAGACCACTTTCATAATACACTGATGGGTTTAATTAAAGTGGCACTGTCATCAAAATTTTTATTTTCTTAAACGAAAATGCTCGTAAAACTGTATAGTAACTTGTTTTGAAGATTTTTGTTCTCATGCTTAGTTCTTGAGATATTTAATTTTGTTTGTAACCATGTGACGTCATTTACTCAATTACATATATAATGAGATATCAGTAATTGTTGTGTTTTTTAAACAAATCCATAAAAAATAGCAAAGATACACAAGAATTACTGATATCTCATTATATATGTAATTGAGTAGATGACGTCACATGGTTACAAACAAAATGAAATATCTCAAGAACTAAGCATGGGAACAAAAATCTTCAAAACAATTTACTATACAGTTTTAAGAGCATTTTCGTTTAAGAAAATAAAAATTTTGATGACAGTACCACTTTAAATATTCTTTCATGTACATTTGAATAAGCCTTATATTTCTTCATTGTTCCTTCCATAGCTGTTACTGGACACACATTCTCTGAAGACCATACTTGTGGACTTGCCCTTGCTTTTATCCAACGTGCAAAGAAAAATTCCGGCAAGGTAAGTAATAAAGATACTAGTGGAATTTGGTGATTTGTTGTAATCCTAGCAAAGCGCATAAACTATTTTTTCATGAAAATTATAGTTATTCCAAAGTTGTTACAAAGGGCATGGAGAAAGCTGAGATGATACTAAAAGTAAGATAGCAATGTTTTATGTATTGTAAACATACTTGATCGACCTTTGCATAGGCGTATGGGCCGGGGGGCACAGCCCCCCCCCCCCCCAAATATTTACGGTCGGGCAAAAATCAATGCGACATTCGGGCAAAACATAAAAATTTCGGAAAAATTTTGATTGTTAGGGAAATTTTTTTGATATGCCCGGCAAAATTTTCGTATGTTTGTAGAAAAGTATTTGGTATGTCCGGAAATTTTTTTTGTTATTTCCGGGAAAAAATTTTTGGTGACCTCCCCCTGCCAACAATTTTGGGAGAAATATTAATGTTCAGTTTGTCTGTTAGGGCAAACTATACTGTGCCCCCCCCCCCCGCAAACAAGATTAGGCCCGTACGCCCATGGACCTCTGCATAATAATCCTAAACTGGCAATAAAACGCGTTCTCACAGGTTGTAATGTCGCCCCATGATCCACCGGTTGGTTTCGTCGACAACTACATCAAGTTGGTTGGAGATGCCGATACTTCAAATTTTCAAAAACTTCTGGACATGAAGGTGATCACGATTTAGCTCTACGCCTAGTTTGGTTTCCTTCCACTGGATCAATAAAGGATGCCCCTTATATTTCTAGGAAGAACAGCCTTGCTGTACTATAGGAAGAACAGTTAGAGCTGTAACTAATAGAGCTATCCAGTATAAATAAAGGTTTCCTTTTGTGGTAACACCAAACCAATGAAGGAAGGTCCTTGCTGGATTTCAATGGAGAAGAGTTTAGAACTGATAGAGCTATCCAGTATAAATAAAGTTAGTTTAGTTTAGGTTTCCTCCTGTGGTAACACTGGATCGATAAGAGATGATCCTTACTGGACCTCCAGGGAGAACAGTTTAGAATTGATAGTGATATCCAAGTATAAATAAAGTTAGTGTAGTTTAGGTTTCCTCCTGTAGTAACACTGGATCAATAAGGGATGATCCTTACTTGACCTCTAGGGAGAACAGTTTTAGAACTGATAGAGCTATCCAGTGTAAATAAAGTTAGTTTAGGTTTCCTCCTGTAGTAACACTGGATCAATAAGGGATGATCCTTACTGGACCTCTAGGGAGAACAGTTTAGAACTGATAGAGCTATCCAGTGTAAATAAAGTTAGTTTAGTTTAGGTTTCCTCCTGTAGTAGCACTGGATCAATAAGAGATGATCCTTACTGGACCTCTAGGGAGAACAGTTCAGAACTGATAGAGCTATCCAGTGTAAATAAAGTTAGTTTAGTTTAGGTTTCCTCCTGTAGTAGCACTGGATCAATAAGAGATGACTCAAACTGGACCTCTAGGAAGAACAGTTTTGAACTGATAAAGCTATCCAGTTTTAGTTTAGAACAATAATAACTAGGCATTGTTATGAATTGGATAGCAGCGAGTGGTCTTACGAGTTTTTAGTGTATTTCAAAACTTGTCAATAAAATAGTTAATGATATTTTTTAGGGTTTACGTCGAAGTGAACAGCACGCCATGTTGGATGTATTTCGTTCACGGCTGCCCACACCCAGTACACCTGACGCCAAAAAAACTACGTCTGGGGCAACGCCTGAACTCGAGTCGAGCAGGATAAAGAGACTGGAACGACTAATTAAGAAACAATTTTAATGAATGTAACTGAAGGTAACACTCCTATCCTTTCTCGTACCCAGAGCCCTTTTTACGCGCGGTCAACGGAGCGCGACGAGTGGCTCTGATATGGATTTTGCCAGAGCCCCTCGTCGCGCTCCGTTGACCACGCGTAAGAAGGGCTCTGGGTACGAGAATGCACCAGTGGAATGCACTCGTATCGTGTTCGGTCTTGGAATTTCAACAAATAACGATGGTTGACGGCCAGCGAAGAAATCGTCGAAACCGAGGGAGGTATTTACAAGAGGAATTGCGTGGAGTTCTCACTGTAGTCAACATTTTTTCCCAAGGGAGGGTGGGTTAGTTTATTGGCCTCTTGAATTGCTCCGCTTGTGATGTACCTTTGGTTATAGATTCATGTCTCGCTGTTTAATTTTTGCAGTGGTGGATCCAGCAAAGTTTTTTGTGTTTTTTTTTGGGGGGGTGCTAACCAATGGCGAAACAAGAGCCGATTTCTAGGGTGGTCCGGGGGCATACTCCCCCGGAAAATTTTTAAAATTCGGGTCTCTGAAATGGCATTTCCAGCATTCTGAGAAAACATTCTGGAAAATTTTTAAATTCTCAGAATATTTATTATTGGCTATTCCGCTATTGTCAACTAGTGATACGCAACTGAATTCCTTAACATAAGTTGGTTAGAATTAGGATAAACGTCATTTTTGCACCCCACCCCCCCATGCACCCCTGTTGACCAGAGCCTGGGGGGTGCGCACCTCCCCCCCCCCTAAATCCACCACTGAATTTTTGTATAGCGCAAATTTACATGCATATGGAAATGATCAAATGCGCTTTACAAATCAAATGCACAAATTGAGCACAAAAATGCTGCACAAAAGAACATTTTAAATAATATCAAATAATATACAATAACATATTAAATACGGTAAGCAAAAGTTCAACTATTACAGTAATAGTTCTAGTAATTAGCCATTCCGAAGTTGATGAGAGGACTGGGGACGAGTGTTAAAAAGTGCCCAAATTAAGAAATGAACGGAATCACTAAAAAGACCACCTCAAAATTAGTAAGTATACGAAGTTTGAAAACGTTTACATGAATACCCTTCGAATAATAAGCATTCGAATATTGTGAAATTACTGATTATAAAAGATTGTTTCCGGGACGTGCGTCCCCCAAAACAAAAATTACAGCACATTTCATAGTAAATATCGCGATTTTCGAAAGCTCATTATTCGAAGGGTATTCATGTAAACGTCTTCATACTTTGTATCCTTACTAATTTTGAGGTGGTCTTTTTAGTGATTTGGTTCATTTCTTAATTTGGGCACTTTTTAACACTCGTCCCCAGTCCTCTCATCAACTTCGGAATGGCTAATTATTCAACTATGTATAGTTCTGAACTTCTGATAATTGTTCAACTATAGTTCTAGTAATTGTTCAATTATAATTCTAGTAATTGCCCAACTATACTTCTGATAATTATTCAACTGTAGGTCTAGTAATTATTTAACTATAGTTCTAGTAATTGACAAAAATTGTTCAACTATAATTCTAGTAATTATTCAACTATAGTTCCTATAGGACTATAGCTCTTGTAACTGTTGACATGACTGATCTCACTAATTCAGTTGATTTTTCTCTAAAACCCTGACCGACTACTTGTCGAAATCCCAAATTGTTTCAGGTCTTTATATCGCCTCTCGATCCTTCTCCGTTTATGATCGGTTTGCAAAGGATCCAACTTCAAGTTCGATATGGTTTCTGTAAAAAAGTCGGGCAGCGGAGCTCTGATGATCACTGGTTTCGACTCCAGGCCATCAAGTGTAATCTCCTTTGCGTGAAGGTGAAGTGGAATAAGCGCTCTCTGCCAAGCTTGAATCTTGCGTTTTCCACTTTGTGCATTTTCAACCCCTTTGAATCCCAACATTTGCAGCATACGCAAGGGAAGCACCTGCAAAATTAATTCCATTTATTAAGGCTGGCCCATATTAAAGTTTCTGTGATCACAGTAGGATTTGTAAGAAATGTTTGAGGGAACGAACTTATTAAAGGTGCCCTACAGTCCGATCTGCGCATGTGCACAAAGGAGCCCACTTTTCATGATACAAACAGTTTAAGTACTATTTAAAGCACGCGTAGGAGTGTTTTATCACATATAAAACACGACGCGTAGCGGAGTGTTTTATATGTGATAAAACACGACTACAAGTGCTTTAAATAGCTTAAAAAACGACTCATCTTATACGAGTTCATTGGCGAAGTAATTTTTAAAATAAACTTTGTCTAAACCGAGAAAATCAAAGCTAAAGTTTATGTAAATTAACATGATTTTTTATCACATATAAAACCACGACACGCTTATGATTTTTCTTTGTGTTTTCCTCCTGAATTATTAATGAGTTTTTGAACTATGTTTTGGGTTCTTGCAAAGCCTGATTGTTGTTTCTTGATCATTTATTATACTCTAGAAGCTTGAAAATATAAATAGTTGTCGAACAAAGCTCAATGTTTTGGACACAAAAATGTAAACAAAGGCTTTGTTTACATACGGACTGTAGGGCACCTTTAAAAGTGTTAAATAGTGAGTCAGTTGACTCTGTTTCCTCAAACATTTCTTACAAATCCTTCAAAACTTAGAATTTACCCATACAAAATTCCTACTGTGATCACAGAAATTTTGATAGTGTAAACCAGTAAACCACCCTTTACGAGACTCAGGGACGCCGGAACTGGGGGGCAGGGGGGGGCGGCTGCCCCCCTGCCTTTTGCTAGGGGGGGGCAGAAGTGCCCTTAGTTGTAAAATAATATGTGATAAATCACATTTCCAACGATGCTTTTTGTCGGAAAATCACGAGATTCAGGTAATTTATAGTTTATATTTATAAAAAATTTGGCAAATTTTTGGAATTTAGAAAAATATTTTGAAGAATTGGCGAAAATTTATGACGGGGGGGGGGTCGCCAAAAAAATTTGCAGTGAAAAAAAAGTTTTCAGTAAAGGTGCCCTTGGTGTGCGTCCGCCCCCTTTGCCCTATTATCGTTCCGGCGTCCCTGACGAGACTTCGCCAAAATTTCAACACAATCAATGGACAATGGATGATTCCAGCTTTTGGCGAAATTTTGATCTAGATAAGAAGAACGAAAACCATTACCACAGCTGGAAAGAGCATCTTAAAATGAGTAAAATTGCAAAGTTTGGTTGCGAAATGTTGTAAAATGAGGGAAATATAGCCCCGTGAAGTTCGCAAATTTTGTATATATTTGCATTACGCGCGGGAAAAATAACCATTTTTGAGCCGAAAGTGGTTATTTTTACCGCGCCGTAATACAAATATATACAAAATTTGCGAACTTCACAGGGCTATATTTTCCTCCTTTCACAACAATTACCAACCAATCTTTGCAGTTTTACTCATTCTAAGACGCTCTTTCTGGCTGTGGCGTTAGATTTCGTTCTTCTTGCCTTGATCAAAATTTAGTCTATAGGCATAGCAGGAA